CCCCCAAAAAAAAGAAAAATCCGAGAAGTGAGCGGTGCATGGTTTCAAAATCAACGAATCATGGTTTTAACTTTTCTCACTGTGTGTGTTGACGAGTGACGACGACTTCGTCCACTCTCGACACCAACACGTGAGGCATTTTTGTTGGGATCACTATAAAACAATTCTTATAATAGAGCTGAATTGAAGCTGATCAGAACCACTCGTGAATTTTATAATTATAATTGAATTGAAGATGAGACCCACTGAATTATTATCTTCTAAGGGATATGGATGGGATACACAGCTTGGAGGAGTTTCGTACTTCTAGAGAATGTTTGAAATTAAGAATATTAGTACCAGAGCTAATGAAATTTAAGATATATAATTCGCACAAAAATAGTGCTAGAGACGCCAATTCTAACCTAAATTATTTTGTATTAACTTATTTGGTATAGATATTTTTTTATTTGTAGATGTAGTCTGCTAATCTTTTCAACAGTTACTAATAAAAAGATGACAACTCTCCGTTAGGTCAGTCTTGTTAGTTCTTTGCGTCTAGTTTTGGTGTAGCAGCTATATTTCGATTCATCCTCTTTTTCCAAGGGTTTCATAATTTGACATTGAACCCATTTTATATTATGGGAGTTGCCGGGGTATTGGGCGCTGCTCTTCTATGTGCTATTTATGGTGCTACCATAGAAAATACTTTATTTAAAGATGGTGATGGTGTAAATACATTCCGTGCTTTTAACCCAACTCAAGCTGAAGAAACTTATTCATATAAGTTGGAAATAGAATTGTTGTCCCTATCATTATTCTTTATACATTTATATGTATGCATTACGATATTTCTAAAAATGAATCCAAGAAAAATTAATTGACAGTTTACATTTCTTTTAGAGGGAACTTTTTATTTTGTAGTTGAGAATCTACATGCATAATATAATAAGCTTCTGCTTGGAGGGTGGAATTCGATTGAATGAATTAGTTCATGCTTTTCATAATAAACACAAAAGAAGAGAAATTAGGGAAGTATAATTCTAATTATCTGATCAGGAAAGATGTCTCCCCATCAACAATTATCCTTGAGTTTAGTGCGAGTAGACAAACATGACATGAACAACAAACTTTATGGATGATAACTAAAACTTGTTATTAATATCCTTAAGGAAAAGATCAATCAATTAGAGTCATCTTAGAAGGAATGGAGAATTCAACCGCGTGGCCATGTCCACGAAGATTATCGATGGGTACAAGCAACTAGAAGAAATAATGGAAAGTAGGGCCTTTACATAATGACAATATATAATGAAAGTCGTACAAACAGAATGAAAAATAATTATTCCATTATTGTTTTGGGAAAGATTTTTCACTCAAAAACAACTTCATCGTGAACAGTACTTGTAAATAGTGCCGTATATATGAATAGTGCCATATAGATGAACAATATTATACGCAACAGACAAACCCGATAAAATACTATTAAATACTATAAACAAATAAAAGAACACCATAACTGATAACGGAATTCGGCCAAATATTACCTACATCTCTGGATACTGTGGACCACTCTTTTTACTAAAGAGAAAGATTATAAATTAGACAGAAATTATAAAAACCCACAAATTAGAAATCTAAAGAATTTCCCATAAATTTACAAAAGGGAGAAACTCTCAGTTTTTAGGATGCAAAACAAATGAGGGGAGGTATGTATTTATTGCCTCTGCCTCCCCCTCTTCTACGCATGAACCAGCTGTAAACAGCTGGGTTCACTTCCTAAAGTCAACACTATTTTTTATGCTCTCTCTTCTTCTTCTCACTCTCTGACTTTCTCTTTTAGTTTTTAACATAAATGTCCAGTTCATATTTTTCACAATAAACCCAAATTGACTAACAAATTGATGTCTTTATGATATTTTCATGCCAAAACAAATTATAATCAGAATTAGAATGTGTTTTCATGTTTTTAAAAAAATCTTTTTATTCGAGAGGAGAGAGCATTGTTACTCATCACCATATTACCAAGTGCATTACTATTTATTTTATTTATTAATGATATATTTACCTTTTTTTTTTTTAAAATGAATATTTACCCATCAATTATAATAGATGAACGCACTACCTAATTAAACACGCTAATTTTTCTCGTCGGACAAAAATCAGTGATCCCTACGTTTTACATTTTTCGTCCTCAATTTCAGCTAGGTGAACGTGAGCCTTATACGCGTCAATTATCAACCTGCATGGAATTACAAGAACACCCTTGATGGGGAACCCTAATTACATGTCAAAATCAACTGAAAAAGGGATTGTCATACGGCATGGTGACGTGTAAGAAATGGCTTCCAAGGTGTGTCCAATTAGCTTATAAAGCTAATCGTTTGCGCTCAAATTCAAGGGTGAAAACAATTTTGTGGGAACACCAAATAACATTAATCAAATGGCAGCTCCCACTTGCTCCTTATCCGTCCTCAGTTATTTGGTATCTCTTTGCCTTCTCTTCTCTTTGGAGAAGGGCTTTGCCTTGCAATATAAACAGACCACAAATAGCCATAATACTCCTCAACATACATACACTGTTCAACTTAGCTCTCTACTGCCGGATTCTATTTGCAGCACCTCTACAGGTTCTCTCTCTCTCTCTCTCTCTCTCTCTATTAATGTCTGATAATATATTTGTTTCCGTTGGCTAAAAGGTCTTATATCATGTTTCTATACGGTGTTGTTATGTTGGAGTAGTTAATTTATATTGGGAATCATGAAAAGATGTCAATATACTAGAAAGCTTATCAAGTTTCTTTTTCAGGTATTGATTCCAAATGGAATTTCTTAAAACTTTTTTCTGATGGTTTTCTTGCCTTAATTTTTTGTTCAGGAACAACTATACTTTGTTCAGCGTAAACTAATTACCCCCACATTCAGTATTGCTTTTCTGATTGAACAAACTACTTTGACATACGATTTACAGAAGGCTCCTTTCCCCAATAGTTATTTGAAATAGCATAATCTTCTGCCATGCACATAGCATTCACCCGTGAATGCTTCATTTGTTCTGGGGTCACCAACGGCCAAAAGGTCAAGCCAAATTCATTTACGATATTTATTTTTAAAGCTAGAAAACAAATAAATATGTCATGTAGTGAATAATATGATAACATTTTTTTTTATTGTACAAGTTGCCAAAACGTGTGGGTCCAGTTAATTATATTTGCCACTTTTTCAATGACGATGATTTATGTTAATGTAACTTAAATTTTGGTAGGTAAGAATTGCTTATTTGGTTATCATGGGCACATCAAATTATGTGTATATCTTTGGAGCTTTCAGATTTAGATTAGATATAATAGTAACTTGTACTGAATTTAATTCCGCATTCAAGATATCAAAGTAGCACGTCATTTCATAACAAGCTGTTGCTATCATTTGCATCATTTAATTTGGTCTTAAGTCACGCTAAATAGAAATAGAGCACTTGATGATTAATTTCAAAAATTCGGAATAAGCCAGACAGATTAGAGGCTTTAATAATTAATTTGACAAGTCTCCTACTGCCATTAAAATATATATATACTGTGTGTGTGTGTGTTAGTGCACGAGAAATTGTTTTTCATGCATGCATTTTGTGGTCACGGAACACTTATAGTCACGAGTGAAGATTTCAGATTCCCAAAACGAACAAAACAAAACAAAACACGGTTTGCTTGTGAAAAAGAAAAACTCTTTTCAATAATATATATATATATATATGTGTGTGTGTGTGTGTGTGTGTATAAGGGGGAAAAAAAGGTTCTATTATTGTTTCCAATTAAAGAAAAAGACCATAGCAAAGTTAATTTACAATAAAAAAACATTTTAGAAGGGTATTAAACAGATATTCTTTCACTAATAGATGTTGACGTATATTATTTATGTTTAAAATTAAATTCTTTTAGCACTATTTTTTTATCTGTTTTATTCAAATGTAATATTGGTGATAAAAATGAACTTTCACCAAAAGAAGATCCCTAATTAAAACGTTCGTAAAATTTATTATTATGCATCGAGACCGTCCAAGCCCTATTCTACGAGGAAAATCTTTCAGTAGGTGCAAAAACACGTATACAGAGATGATAGATCTTTAGAGGGGAAACATTCTGTCTTTTTTTTTTTTTTAATTTTCATTTTGAAGGAAAGGGATATATGAAAATTGACTTGTTAAATATTTGTGTGTATATATATACTACTTTTACTCTTATGTTTACAAGTATAGCGCACGCATACACATAAAACTTAGATTATAATCTTAAACTTTTTAAAATACTACTTTTACTCTAATGTTTTAAAATAACTTAAAAGAGTTACATTGATTTTTATACAAAGTACTCTTTTTACACTTTTTATCAAATACTATATATATTGGCTGTTCCTAAGATTCAGGGAGGTTGAACCAAAGAAAGGTAAGCCTTCCCACCTTCAGAATGGATTTTCTGCGCTTCTTGAGAAAGGAAAGAAGTTATGATTGCACCCTTTTTTGTGCCAAACTTTTAGGAGTTCCGAAAATGATCTTTAGGTAAATACTTTCATGAATTCTCATCCCCCAACTAATCTGTTTTGTTAGACAGTATTCATAGGTATGTGATTGAAAACTTCACTATATATATATATATATATATATATATATATCTCGTTCATTTAACTGATTCGAGTTTTGCTACAGTAAAAAGCTGTCAAATAAAGTCATATCTCAACTCGAATCAACGAATTAAATGGGCCCATAATTGTGATATGCTTCAAACAACTACGCATATAAATACAATGCAACTAGGCAAGTACTATTGTGCAACTCGTTTCCATTTTCCTCCTTTTTCAAATTCGTTTCACTGTTTTGGTCGATCTTTTTCAACCTTCGTTCAATCAAACAACCTCTTTTCGACCTAATCACGAAATGACATATTGTGGAAGTCATGTATAATCTCATTGATTTAATTCCATTACTATGAACTCTCGCAGTGCCTAACCACGAGGCATCGTTGAAAGTGGTGCACAAGCATGGCCCATGCTCCCAAGTCCACCAAGACAGTATTACCACTCATGATCACACTCAAATCCTCCAGCAAGACCAATCCCGGGTCAAATCCATCCACGCCCGCCTTGCCAAGAAATCGGCCACCACAGCAGCAGCCACCGGCAGGATACATCAACAGGATGCCACCACCATCCCGGCAAAGTCTGGGGCCGTCGTGGGCTCGGGAAACTATATAGTGACGGTGGGCCTAGGGACGCCGAAAAGGGACCTTTCTCTCATATTCGACACCGGAAGCGACCTCACTTGGACACAATGCCAGCCCTGTGCTAAGTCCTGCTACAGCCAAAAGGAGACCATCTTTGATCCCTCCAAGTCTTCCTCTTACTCCAACGTCTCTTGCACCTCCGCAGACTGCTCCCAACTCAAAAGCGCCACAGGTATTCGTAGGCTCACATCTTCCATTAATTTAGAGGTTAATTTAACTTTCAATACACGTTTAGTTCATAGATTCAGAATTATTCTCAATTTACGTGTATTTTTTTATGAGAAAAAACACTATAACGAACCACGATTCATAATTCAAATCATAGTACGAATCTACCGACCAAATGCATTATTATAAGTTCGAATCCCTCAAGAGTAAAACTGTTGCTACCAGTTCTAAAAGTTAATTAGACCACTTCACAAATAATTATTCTTCATTAATTTGTTCTACCAAAAAGAAAAATAATTCTCCATTTTCCTTGTTGATGAAATAAAAGACGAATATTGAATTGAACAAGATTTACTTGATTATACCATGGCAAGTCTTCTTCAACATCAATAACCAACTTACAAGTCACAACTTAAATAAACTCTCTTAATTTAAGGAGCCTTCTACGGATGTTAAATTTAATTAAAATCACATCAAGAAAATTAATAGAATCTCTAACTCTACAAAACAGAACCCTATTAAAAGATAAAAAAAAAAATTTAATAACAAAATATAATAAGAAAAAACAACTAAGGGGAGAACATTAGTGCTGAATTGATTATTATCAATATATTTTTCAGGCAACACACCCAGTTGTTCGTCAGTGACATCCACGTGCGTATACGGCATCCAATACGGCGACTCGTCGTTCTCGGTCGGTTACTTTGCTAGAGACACCCTAACGCTGTCGTCATCCGACGTCATCAGTAACTTCCTCTACGGCTGCGGCCAAAACAACCAAGGCCTCTTCGGCGGGTCAGCCCGGCTATTGGGCCTGGGCCGCAACAAGATCTCCCTCGTCGAGCAAACGGCCCAAAAGTACAACCGCCTCTTTTCCTACTGCCTCCCCAGCTCCTCAAGCTCAACGGGCTACCTTTCCTTCGGCACCACAGGCAGCAAGGCCCAATACCCAATCAAGTACACGCCTCTCTCCACGCTCTCCGCCAGCGCGTCGTTCTACGCGCTCCAGGTCCTCGGGATCAGCGTTGGCGGAAATAAGCTCTCCGTTCCGGCTACTTTGTTCCAGTCGGCGGGGACAATCATCGACTCCGGCACTGTAATCACGCGACTCCCGCCGACGGCGTACTCGGCGCTGAGCGGGGAGTTCAAGAAGCAGATGAGCAAATACCCGTCGGCCCCAGCTCTGTCGATACTGGACACGTGTTTCAATCTCAGCGCCTACCAGACGGTGACGATCCCGAAGATAAGCTTCTACTTCGGCGGCGGGACGGCGGTGGATCTGGACGCGACGGGGATACTGTACGCGGCGAGTCTTTCGCAGGTGTGTCTGGCGTTCGCCGGGAACAGCGACGACGGTGACGTGGCGATATTCGGGAACGTTCAGCAGAAGACGTTGCAGGTGGTGTATGATATTGGTGGAGGGAGGATTGGGTTTGGCTCTGGTGGTTGTAGCTAATTAAATTACTGATTAAGGTGATTAACCCGTCGTATTTGGTGGGGAAAAGATGGAAGTGATTATATATTTATGTATGATTAATGGGAAAGAATAAGTTTTCTATATTGCCAAACTAATTAAAGGGAAGTTTGGTTGGTTGGGAGAATCAAGTGTATAGAAACAAACCGTTGGTTGGGAGAATCATGCAACAGTAATTTCTGAATTATATGCCTTCTGGATCATTAATATCATGCATTTTTATTAGTTTCCCGCTGAATTTGTTTATCGATCATTGTTAGATTGGGACAATGAAAAAGAATGTTTATATTATTCAGTGCGTACTTTCAAGAGGTTATAAAGTAATGGCGGCAAAAGTTTGCTACAATGATCCAACCAAAAAGAGGATTACTTCCGATGTTGGATTTTGCGTGAGAGCAGCCACATTTTGGGCAGAAGATGAGCTTTCCTTGTGCCGATAAACTAAGGTGAGAAAAAATGCATGAAACAAGACCTCAAAAATTTGTGTGGACACGTTTGTCCTGTTTCCCCCCCTTCTTGTAACTATTGCACTCTTATGGCCATTTTGTTTGAAGAGTTCATGTGAGTTTGAACCTATTATTTGATTTTAAACCCATATTTAGTTGTTACAATTTTGAATCTGAACCTTGGCTTGAGAATCCAAAATTCTGGGTTTTAGAGAACTTAAACCACCTAAAGTTAAGAGTTTTTTCGGTAGTTTGTCCTGCCAATAGTCTCAGTTCTTGATCATTAAATCTTATTAAGATCACATCATATTAAAAAAGTAAATAGATTCTGATACAGATTTAACAGCTGAAAAGTAAATGTTTACCAGAGAAAGTCCCTAAGTAGTTCTTGTGGGTTTGAATTTTTTTTTTATTGACTTATTTGTTATAGTATTTTTAGTTTAAAACCGTATTCTATATCTGGTTTACTCATAATTTTAACAATAACTAAACACCACTTTTAACTTTTATTCTCTAATGTGATGTTTTATTTCTTATTTTAACTTTACACTACCAAATGTCGGTTCGAATCATAATCTCGTTCAGTTCGTTAATTTGAATTTTTAATTTGAGCTGAGATGTAACTTTATGTGAGAGTTTTTAGCTGTAGAAAAAAAAGTTAGATGTGACTTTTTATGAGAGCTTTTAACTGTAGCAAAACTGAAATTGAAAACTCAAATCGGTAAAATGAGCGAGATAAAAATCTAAAAGTTTAAAATCACGCAATTCAAACTCACGAAGTGAACGGGGGCACAAGTTGCTTCATGCTTGGTCTTATTTCTCCTAAAACATGCCTAGCTTGCGCCTTTTACTTCTTGTTTTGCAGGCGACTTTTGTTTAGGGTACAACTACTTCTACAGACTATTTTAATGATAACTTACTACTACCATTAATAAATGAACAAAGTCAATTGGAGGTGGTGATGATACCAAGATGATTCAGTACACCTTATACGAAGATTGAATCAATTGTGCAGATGCATAATTGGTCAAATTACTTCCGCATGTTAATACTTTCCGAGGCTCGTTTTGCAAGTGAAGTACTAATAAATTTCCATTAAGAAAACTTCTTTTATTTTATTTTTTTTCATTCGTTATGATTGTCATTAAAAATATGACCAAGGTAATTTAAGTCATAAACATGCCGAATTGCCTATCGTTGTCTCTATCATAAGATGTTCACGAATTTAACTTATAAAATTACTATACATCGCGTGACAAAATATCATAAATTTATGTGGTATATGCAAAAGTCAACTCAGTTGTTTGTTATTATCAGATGAATAGGAAGCCAAAGTCGAGAGCTGTTATTGATTGCAAAAATGGGATAAAGAAGTCAAAGGCTTCTAATCCTCAGGAAGCCACGAAAGTGCCTTTTTTTTTATTTGGCTAGAAAGTAAGCCACGAAGATTGTCAACAAGGATAAACATATAATCTATTTAGTTTGTTGATTCGAGTTTTTAATTTGAGTTGAGATGTAATTTTATGTAATAATTTTTTACTATAGTAAAAAAGTTGAATGTGAATATTTTTAAGAACTTTTTACTATAACAAAATTTAAATTTTAAACTCAAATCGATAAAATGAACGAGACAATACGTAACCTCATACGAAGGAAAATAAATAAAGTTTTGTAGAGAAGAGAAAAAAAAAAAACGCGTGACAACGTCCACCTTTTTTCTCCTCTCCTTTTTGTGCTCAAACTTATCCTTAAAAAAAAAATTAAAAATTCCTAAATTGCTATTTCTGCTTTAACGCATAGAGAGTAGAAAATAATTGACTAGGCTGCTATTCAATGATCCTAGCCCTAAATTTAACTTGGGAACACAACAACTAATATTGGCACTATGATGAGTCTTTTTTTCATTTGTTTTTCCTTTGTAGAAAACTTTACGGCTAGTCTTTGTACGTGAAACTTGAAAATGTGAGCCGTTCGTTGAGGACTAATTGTAAAGACCAAAATGAGCTGTTAATTATTCTTTCCACGTGCACCTAATTATTTCATGATACCAAAAAAAAAAAAAACAAAACAAAACAAAACTTAAGACGATGGAATAATTATACTCATTCATAGGCTTATTAAAACTCGTATATAGTTTTCTAATTTGCGAATTATACTTATACATACATAAAAAAGTATAAAAGGTTCTTTCTTGGTTAAAATAGGGGATAAACCATCTTCTCTTAAACTTTTTTCCATACCCCTACGGAAGTAAAACTTGACTCAGATTTTAATCGTGTCAAACTCCTTTATCAACTCAATAAGTTGATACTTAGGGGAAAAAAAGAACTTAAGGTCTGTTCATTTCACCGATTTGAGTTTTCAGTTTTAGGGCTCGTTTAGTTCGCTGAATTGAGTTTTTAATTTGAGTTGAGATGTAATTTTATGTGAGAGCTTTTTACTGTAGTAAAAAAATTAGATGTGATTGTTTGTGAGAGGTTTTTACTGTAAAAAAACTCAAATTCTAAACTCGAATCAGTGAAATGAACGGGGTTAGCAGTTTAAAACTTTTAAAAAATGTCACATTAACTTTTTTTGTTACTGTTAAAAACTTTTAAAAAATATCACATCTCAACTTAAATTAAAAACTCAAATCTACAAAATAAATAAGGTTAAGGCCCCGTTCATTTCACATATTCGAGTTTAGAATTCGAGCTTTGCTATAGTAAAAAGCTCTCAGAAACAGTCACATCTAACTTTTTTACTACAATAAAAAACTCTCACATAAAATCACATCTCAATTCGAATTAAAAACTCAAATCAGCGAACTAAACGAACCCTAAATCTCATATTTCTCTCTTATTGCGAAGAAAAAAGTTGAATTGATTAATGACATATGGTGATGGTAGAGAAAACCAGGATGGTCAAAAAACTAGAGCTGAGCTTCCTTATAAGAAAATAATAAAAAAAATAAAAACTTGAGCTAATTGAATTACCAAACCACCCCTAATAATTAGAGATGGACCTTTTTAAAATACTGTGGACCTCAGAATCCACAAACGCTTCCCCTCCCCCATTATTGTTCATGTTTTCACCATCTTTGTATCAGTCTGTGGTGTCACAATGCCCCAAAAAATAATAATAATAATAATAATAATGCACCTCGTGTACAGATCATTTCCATTTTTTATTGTCACGAAAAGTAACAATAAACTAGAAAATCCAGCGCGACAGCTTAATTAGCAGTTGGACTCCCAATGCTTCGAGATTAACTGCTTAAGAAAGCATTCACTGTATAATTGCCAAGGTAATGATGGATAAACTGTCACTAAAGACAAACAAACAAAAAAGAAACAAAATTGTAAAGATATTCGCGTTATTTTCAACGCCCAACAACTGGACGGCTGTCATGGAAGCAGAAGAATAGTTATTTGTTCTTTTTTTTTTTTTTTTTTTTTTTTTTTGGAAAAA